CTGGCAGACGAATACAACATAGAGACATAAGTCAGATCCATGTTCAGTAGAAGGATACACTAGAGATAGATCAGCCAAATGTAGATCAATCCAAAATCAGTTGAGAGCCTCATGCAAAGCAAGGATTATGTTTCAAGGTTCATTGAAGGTATCCAACATTGGTAAGACTCTCAATCGTGAAGTTCCTTCCTTACATGTGCATCAGACTCGAGCATCGAGGGAATGCGGTTAGTCTCGATTCGTGTTAGCGCACTTTCACGGTGCGGGCAAGTTGGCATCACCGAGCAGTGACGACTGGAGCTCCCCGCAACAGCTCAACAGCTCCACAGCTACCTCTAGACCCCGAAACACGTCAACACGATCGCGAAAAAATATGGCAGACGAGGAGAAGGAGAAGGCGGAGAAGATCGCAGCGGCGAAGAAACGCGTACGTCTTCCCTCTACAGGTCTCTCTACTTCCTGAAGGCTGCCATTGCTCAGATGCAGTTGGAAATGATGTCTTTTCATAGCCGAAGTTCGAAAAGGCTCATTACAGCTAAGACGAAACTGACAAATACGTATAGTATGAACAATTGAAGAAGCAGAAGGCGAAGAAGACGGGTGGAGGAAAGAAGAAGGGAGACAAGACTGAGGAACCCGCCGAAGCCGAAGCCTCGACTGAAACCCCGACCGAAGCAACTTCTCCCAAAGAGAAGCCCGAACAGGTCGCGCCAGAACCCGTAGAAGCCACAAGCGTGCCAGAGCCGCCAGCAGAGGACGACGACGAGCCCTCCGAGTTAGCTGTACCCAAGCCGTCGCACGGCCGCAAGCCTTCAGTCGCCGTCGATTCGCGACAGCGGTCCGAATCTTTCTACCGCTCGGGAGCTGCTGGTGGACCTCTGTCGCCTGGAGGAGGGGTCGCAAGTGAGGTCTACCGAGAACAAGCACAGAAGATTGAGGAACTCGAGAAGGAGAACAAGCGACTGGCAAGCGAAGTTGAAGAGAACCAAACCAGATGGAAGAAGGGCGAGGAAGAATTGGAGGAGCTGCGAGAAGGCAGAGGCGATGTTGCGCTCGCGGTAGAGAAAGGCAAGGAGGCCGACAAGCTGGTATGCCTTCATCGATACATTGGATATGGGACAGATTACTCACATCAGCACAGAAAGCCGAAGTCGAATCGCTGAAGAGGCAACTTGCGCAGGCGCAAACGCAGAGCAACAAGTCCATACGCCGCACGTCGACCGCATCGCCTAGCCAAAGCGCATCCATTGACGATCTGAACGCGCAAGTCGCTTCAAAGTCCGCGACTATCGAGTCACTCGAGCTGGAGATATCGAACGTCAACAGACAGCTATCAGAGCAAACGAACAAGAACAACGAGCTTCAGTCGAAAATTACAAGCCTGGAATCGGCCGTACAAAGGGCAGAACAAGAAGCAAGCTCAACGAAGACTGAGTTACAGGATCTCAAGGCGAGCCTGGACAAGGCTGGTGACCAGGCAGAGAAGGATGGCTCGGATCGCGACTCTGCGCAGACACGCATTGCACAATTAGAGGCTGAGCTGGGCACGGCGAACCGCAAGGCTTCAGACTCAGTCTCGCGCGCAGAACTGCTTGAGAAGAAGATCGAAACCCTCACACAATTACACCGCGACAACGACTCACGAAACCAAACGCGTCTGCAAGAGCACAAGAAGATCGAGCGCGAAGCCACCGAGCTACGGACCCGCATAACAGGCCTCAGCAACGAGAACGCGCGCCTCCGAGAGGCTGAGCAGCGACGTCGCAAGGCAGATCTCGGCTCGATCGAAGACTCCAGTGTTCAGGAGCTCCTCGACGAAGAGCGCGATCGTCTCCTTGCCAAAGTGCGTGAACTTGAGGAAGAGAACTTCGAACTCCGTCGTGGCGTATGGCGCGATCGCCGCCGCGACATGCAACCCCCCATCGACGACCAAGCAGACGCCTCGCACCCCTACAATAGCTCCAACAGCTTCGACGACGTCGACCTCTCCGGAGCACCATCCCGTCAAGCCCTCCCCAACCGCACACACTCGTCCTTCCAAGACGTCATCCAATCCGGCATCTCAGCCTTCACCGGCCAGAACCCTGCGCATCGACGAAGCGACGCAGCGAGCAAGCCGAAGCCGAGACAAGAAAGCCTGGGCAGTTTGGACGAGTTTGAGATCGATGAAGATGCGTTTAGGCAGGCGCAGGAAGAGGAGGGCAAGAAGAGACTTGAGAGAGTCAGGGAGGTTAAGAGGGGGCTTGTGCAGTATAAGGGATGGAGGCCGGACTTTGTGGATGTTAGGGTGGGCATGGGTGGTGTCTTTGAAATATAAGCACCGGAACACAGATATATGGTTATGGAGACTATGTGTGATCGAGACTTCGGTCAGCTTCCAGAGAAATGCAGACATGAATAACATGACCGGCGCTTTTGAAATGATGTATCGGGGTAGGACATCTGTTGCCTTGACACTCCACACCGAAAGACAGTGCATAGAACTTGATGTTCCCAGTTTTGTTCATCCAGTCAATCGCACAGACCGCCCTCACCATGACAGTGGTTGCAGTACTTTTCCAGGCACATGAAGCCGAAACGGCGCGTTTTAGATTGAGAAGCAAGGTGGTACAGTATCTAAGACTTGGAGAAACAAGGCTTTATATACACGGCGGGAACCCAGAAACGGAGCTTGTATATAGGGCTTCATCTTTTCGGACAGAAGCATTAACAGCTCCTCTAGACTTTTCACGAAGCTACTCACTCTCCATGCATCTTCTCTTGTTTGTTTTGATTCCACAGCACACACCGGAGCGGAAGACATGCGTTTGCCAAACATCGATTTAGGTCCCGTTGGCCATGTTTAAGTCGAAGGTTGTTTTAGAAGAAAGTTAGTCCTTTTTTCTCGCATGGAAGTATTTCGGATTGACTTTAGTATCCATGATAATACCTAAGATGGCTTTTTGACAACCCTTCTCCGCACTCATGACTTCGTAGGTTGCGTATTTTGTTTGTTGGAAAGAGGGATGGTTGGAAGAAGGCAGATGTAAAGATGATGCCACTGGATCCGAAGACATACCAAATCTCGTTGAACTCTTTTGGGAAAATAAGCGGATAGATGCTTTTATGAAGTGGGAAGGAAGAGTGCAGGTCGGAGAGGTTTATATACTCAGCAGTCGCCGGGCAAGCGCCATGCCAACAGTTCGTTCTGACTTTCCAGAGTAAAGATATGCAGAATCTCTCGACCGGAGCATACCACAGCCTTTCTAAAGCTTTGGACCGCGTTGTTTTGACAGGTGAGCTATCACGCCTGCTTCTCGGTCTCCATACGAGACTACTAGTGTTGTATTTTGGAAGCTGGAGAAAGCACATGGGCGCTCATATATTTCTTTTTTTCTTTCGCAAACATCGTAGATGTTGCTTAACAGTTTTGGTGTAGTAAAAGGCCGGAGAGGTGTCTAGAATCGAAGCAGGAGGAAGCCGAGGCGATTTATACATGTGAGCGCAACAGCACGGCAGCAAGATGTAACCTATATCGGATGTTGTTTTGGTAGGCAAAGACATTTTGCCAATCTGCACAAGCTTCTCTTATCCCTGAAGAAAATGATGCACATTCCTATTCTCTCTGCGACCTGGCTAATCTGCGCAACAACCCTGTGCTGGTAGAATTTTGATGTAACAAAGCATTGCGGGACAGGAGAAACGCCCACATCGACGACCTCGTGGGGTTTTTTGTTTTCCCAGGAACATCACAAAGAGGTTCGGCATGTTTTGGAGTAGCTATTGAGAGGAGGAATCCCATCTCCAAGATGTATTCGCGAGGACGTTGATGCGCCTCAACTATTCTTATGTACAACGTCGTTGCATAACACATCGATACCCCTTTATTTGATCATGGCTGCTCCGCTAATCGATGCAAGTATATGCTTCGTAATGGTCAGCATTCTGACCTTCCAGCACTGCATGCTGTGGGTATGAGCAAAGCCTCCTAGTCCTGTTACTTCCATCTGAAGGCTCCGTAGCCAGAACGTACTCGGGAGCTACACCATCCTCTACCCACGGAATGAGAGCTTCGAGAGAGTGGTACTTTCCAGGAACCTGAGGATAACTAGCAGCGGGGCCGCAGTGACCACCACCCGGGACCATGAACAAGCGCCAGAAATCGTTAAGTTGTGCCTCGCCGTAGATGGCTTTCGCTTCGTTGTGCTGGTCGATTGGCCAAATAGGCGCGTTAAAAGGGTCAGCCCAGCCTATCCGTGTCAGTCTGGTTCCGTGCTCGTGTAAATCTGGTGGACGACAAACCTTGCGATGCGACAAGTTTTCCACCTCGAGCTCTGAATGCATCGAGTCTTGGGGATGTTGCGGTGATTAAAGGACCTGCAACCTTGTCCACAATCTTGACGTCGTTCTGAAAGTCGAAAGTGGTGTAGTCATAGCTCAAGTTTTTGAAGACAAGGTTCTGCAATATAGGTACTGCATACGCGGTGTAGAGAGTTTCTTCCAGCAGAAGCCATTCGGATTCCGATCCCTTTGCAAACCCGGGGTATACATCGGCCCCAGGTCCAGCGTAGAACGCCTCAAAAGTGGCAAGTTGCGTCTGGTTCAGACATGTCGTTCTGTTATTCTCAACTTGAGCCTGCCCGGACCGGCACAGTAGTGATGTAATTTCGAAATCACACTTGCTTGGATCGTCGATCACTCCGTCTTTTACGCCATCAATGTCATCACACTTCTCCAGTGCTGCATCCCTTGCAAACGTGAGTACGTCCTGGGCTAGAAATCCACCAGGCTTCTGTGCGTGAAGGCCGTTCCACAGAAACGAAAGGATGAGGTGGGAGTACCAGTTGCCGGCACTTCCTGCAACAATACCATCGAAGATATCGGGATGGTACTGGGCCAGTGCATATCCTTGAGCACCGCCTGTAGAACAGCCTGAGAAGTAAGATTTCCGTGGCGGGTTTCGGAAGAACGTCGCTGTGATGGCTTTTGCTGGTACAGTGAACATCGCGATCGAATCCCGGATCCACGCTGCGGTCTGGGCATATGAGTGAAGGAACGGAACATAGCTTCCTGGCTCGGAAACGCCGTTCTCGGAAACCAAATGTCCAGAGTCACACCTTGAGGCCTATAAGTTAGCTCAACATGGCAAGATACAGAGGGGGCAAAAAACAAACCCTCCAACAGCGAAGCCAGAGTTGAGATTCGTCGCCATTGCCTGGTAATCTATCACGCCTGCAAGTCCGCCATTGCCTTCATGATGATGTCAGCAACCACGAGGCACAAGCGTTGATCTGACTGATTCAATACGTACCGACCGACAAATAGCGCCCATTGTAATTTTCGGTTTCGGGTAGCCAGACTTCAAAATTTAGTGTGTTATTTGGACCATATGGCATGAGTCCAACAACACGGCAGAAGGAAGCTGTATTTGTCTCCGTGATATTTTGGGCAGCCACAGCTGATATCTCTGCAATTCCACCAGTGTTTACACGACTGGAGCTGACAACGTAGTCCACATGGTGTCGTAACGAAGTACAACTGTCATGGTCCACAGGGCTAGAAAGTGCTGCCGCTAATAACGCGGCAAACGTGAGCTGTGTGTAAGCAAAGTGCAGCATGGCAGAGACTTCAGGATCGTGAGAAGGAGTGAAGCGCTCGTTTACGATGACATGCGAAGTATTTGTTCTTCATGGCGCGTGGTTCTCGGCCCGATCGTAACTTCCGTAGAATGTCAATACGCACAAGCGTCGATGACGATCACCGAAAGCTTTCTTAACGAGTCAGTAGTTTATTGCGATGAATTTGCAAAATCTACCGAGCAAGGGTCTGGTCATTGTGGACGGCTCACGATGCGGAGTGGTTTGCGGGGTGGATCGGACGGGCTGGCCGACGTGGAGAAAAGACACTCGGCGACGGGCGACCGAGCCCGAGTAGGAGCTAGACTAGATTGGGTGGATGTCTGATGCTCGACTAATAGCTTCCGGTAAAACAGAGACCGAAATCTGCCTGCGGAATGCTTGTTGATTCTCATTCTAGACAGCCAAGGTGCCACAACTAAACCTTGCATATAATATTTGTATCCTGCGACAACCAGGTCCCGATAATTGCGAACTGAAGAAGCGTGACCCGGTTAAAAAAAAGCACTACTCATATACCATCAGCATTAGAGAGTAGCTCGGACTTCCTGCAGCGACCGCACTCTCCTCGCTCGCATCGAATTGGCATTCTCGGCATCTAGAAATATCAAATTTGACTTCGTGCCGCCTTTGCCATGGGGATGTCATGGTGATGATTTTGGAAACCGTTCGAGAGAAAGCAAAGTAGATCTCTCATAAAACATCCTACTCTTCGTTGAGAGACATAAGATCTCTCTCTTGTATCTTTGAGTGTTTTTGAAGATGCGGTAGTTTCATGAAGAAGGAGTGAGCAAGATTGACGTTGGGCTTATGCATCCGCGCTGAAGTAGCACACAAGACGTTGTTGTCGATATTGTTTGGTCACAGTCCATATGTTGTGGATATAAAATGCTCTGTGGTTTGCACCGGGGTGCTGATGTAATGTTACTATAGGAGTAAGGAGATAAAGCCATGAAGACGAAGAAAAGAAGGCAAAGCCATCGGAATGTCGCTCGTGCCTCTTTGGCCGGAGACATTTGGACGACGTCCAATCTTTTTGGTGTTGGCCAGACAGATTGTAGTAAGACAAGAGAAGACGCGGGAAGGCTGGTAAATTTATAGGTGGAAGGACGGAAAGACATCCGGTGGCACCATGTGTCTTTTTGTGTGCTAGGAAATTGTTGTCTCTTGTCTCCCCATAGTGCATTCGTTTGATGGTTTTGATCAGGCTCGGTTGAGAGAGCAGAAAGAGGGAACAGCCAGAGACATAATCTCTTGGTTCTGGAATTTCAGAAACATAACTATGACCAGTGCTAGTTTTTGATAGAGCTAAGACCTGGTGTGTTGGCCGAAGGAATAAGAGCGAGCGGCAAGGAGGTATTTATATGCTCCAGCCCAGCCCACGGTAATTCACTGATCATCGCCCACTTTAGTTACTAGGATAGGAACTCCGTATCTCAGCGACGAAGCTCGCCAGCGACTCGAGGGTTTGTTCTTTTGATCAAAAATTGGGCAGAAGAGGGCAAGCTCGGCAGGTGTTCGACCGTAAAATTTTGAGATTGAGACCCGAGCAGACATATTCGGGGGGGAGTGATTATTTTGTGTAGCTGTAAGACGGCTACTTCGTTGGAGTGAAAGCCGCTGAATCTTTCACACACACATGCCGTTTCTGTTTGGGTGTTTTGAGAAGAAACGCTTCGAGTGTGTTGAAACTCGAGAGGAAGTAAAGAGGAAAGAGTCGCGCAAGGAAGTGCATTATATACTCGTGCCAACGAGCATAGTATTGAATCGGCAAGTATCCTTCCCACACATGTATCATAAAGGGTAGAATTTTGGTGCGATATCGGTAGGAAGCAGCTCAATTGCTGTTACTGTGCGGAGCGGCGGAAGGGCTAGCTGCTATGTAGCAGCAGGCTATAGATCTTGACACAGCATAAAGCAGATAGTACAGTATTTCTGTGCGCAGCACTTACGCCGAGATCATTGCTATATCTTCGTCGACTTCTCGCAGAACCATATGATGCACTGATGCGGCTTTTTGGAAGGAAGAGATCTCAAGACACATCAAAGGCTCCTATGAGGCTTTGGAAATGGTACTCAGTGCTATATGTATAAAGAATAATGGAGAAAGGGCGCCGAGAGGACGTTTATATATGTCATCTCAGAAGTGCCGTTCTCCACTCACATGCCACCCGTTCATCCATTTTTAGGGCCTGTTTATCTCAGGAAGGCAGAAAGGCCACATAGCGTGTCTTGGGTGCGTTTTTGAACCACTTCTCCAGTCATAAAATCGTCGATATAAGCTTTTTGGTGTTTCGCAAAGCCACCGCCGACTCCAGGCATGCCCAATGATCATCCATTTTTGATTGCGTTCTCAGATAGATAATCGCAGCATGTCTGCGTGTTTTCGAATTTTCTGCACCATATCTTGGCAAATATTCATTTTTGGAAGTCGCAAGCCAGATGTTTGGAGAAAGAAAGAAGAGAGAGGAAGCATAAGAACTATCCTGGTGTATTTATAGCAAGCCATGTTGGGAAAATGTGTCTTTTGATCCTGCGCCTGCGCAACATTAGGCATCAGTGTTGTCCTTTTCTTTGGGCATTCGCATCGACGCAGGTACTCGCAGGAGCCACATGCCACGAATGACATGAATTCTAGAATCGATATTTTCATAGGAGACCGGCATGGTAGTTTTGGTGGGTGGTCTGTCTCAGAGCAGACCACACATGTATCGGCAAGCTTGTGGTTTTGGAAGAGCTCAATGCGCTTTTGGTTCCGAGGTGCAGAGCGAAGAGAGAACATGAGACATCGAGAGACGAGAAGACCCCCGGTGCTTCCCATGCATAGCCCCAGATCATCTTTCGAGTGTTCAGGGACATTGAAGTTTTGATGGAGTTGAAATGGAAGTCGTCCACATATAGGCAGTCGATAGTTGTTTTCGCGCTCGCCACAACATGTCCAATCTTAACTTTTCATTTTTGTGCAAAGCAGAAGAAAGACTCAAAGACATCAATCGGCAATCATGTAGTTTTTGACACTGTAGGAAGTGTGTTTTTGATGCGCTGAGAGGGTGGTGTCTCCAAGGATAGCGCAACAACATGATCTTGGTCGTTTTCGGTTTAGAGCCCAAGACCGCGCCGAAAATCATCGGAGCGTTCTGTGTGACTTTTGTTTTGGTCAAATATAGAGGTCAATCGTCATGGTAGGAGAGAGAGGAAGGAAAACGGTCAATTTATATGCGAATGCGCCATTGCCAAGGCATCGGTTTCAGAGTGTTGTACTTCGTACAGGGCAACAGCGTAATGCAGACTGAATGCGAAAAGTGTGGTGCAGACTATACAGGAAGACGATAGAAGGGATAGACTTGCGCATGCCTACAATGCTTGTATTGAAGGGTTATGCATATGGTGACGGAGGTCTGAGTAGACCGATTGAGGTAGCATGAGAGAAAGTTGGACGGAGAAGCGAAACAGATAGATTCAAGATCAAAATGATACGACTGAACCTCCCTTTGCTTTCGTGTGTACACAGGAGCAGGTGTTGCTCGTTATTCGTGATGCAGCGTCATCTAAGCTCTCCAAGCTCTTCTACACTTCCCGCTCACACCACCTCCACACCACTAGTCCCAAAGAAACAACGCATTAAAGTCCCGAAGATCTTCGCAAGCCCTCCAGATCGCAAGGTGGGAGAGCAACTCGGTACGTGATGCGAGCGGCCAGTTCCGCACCCAGCGCCATGCCGTCATACCATCACCTGCCGCCCCGACAGCGATCAATCAGGCCTAGCCTTCACACCCCAGATCGAAACCCTATCTCTCGCCCGAACATCGGTATACACATTCTCGCATGCATGCCAGATACCGGTCGTGTGAAACTGGAAAAGGGCTGCGCAAAAAAAGGACTTGGTGTTGCGTCAGCAGGCTGCGTAACATTATGCGTGTCATACAACAGCATGCAGGAGCTGTGAACGGTATCCCGTAGCCGGATTGCCTGTTGTCGTGAAGAGATCATTCTTGACTTGCCACACGATGCAAGTGTAGGTTGTAGCAAGAGTACCTCGGAGTAAGTATCCGCGTCGTAACGAATTTCCGTTCGCAATAGGGCGCGGAGCTGGACGCCGTGATGTTACATAGCCACCGTGATCGATCCACTTAGTAGGTTCGCGGATGGCTAGTAGCCTGTTCATCTGCCGCTGTTGAGCCGTGGACTTCTTTTCTTGGTATAGATGAGTGGATCTTGTGTGGAGAACTCTGGGGCGCGGAGGCGAAGGGTTTTTCCCGGCGGCGTGGGGTGTTGGGATGCGGGAACAGAAAATAGGTATCGCCGTGAAGGAATTCTCATTCACGTGAGGCTGAATTGGTTTCTGGAAGAAGATGAGGCGACCGTAAATAGCCGGAAGGATGCGTAAAGTTAAACGGTGCTTACGCAACTTAATGGGAAAATAAAGCCAAAAGACGGACTCAACAGGTAAGAGGACGTGTCAAGCCACAGGGTCGGGAATGGCAGCTAGGATAGACCCTAGATCTCGAGTCGCATTTACCTGGGATAGCTTGCGACGAACCGCTGAGCTTCGCTTCATCTGCATGCTGTAGCAGGATTGCATTCGAAAGAACAGCCACCCTTACTCCCGAGTATTGACAAACGCCTCATAATCGTGATAGTGTATTCCTACGCGGCCTCAACACATCATGTTCAAGATGTCGCGGAGCCGGGTGAGTGAAAGACCGAAAGCTTACCATAATCGGAGGTGTCACAGGAACAACAACTCGGGGACTTAGAGGTAGTATCGGCTACCGCGGAAGACGTCTAGTTCGACCTATCGGGAGATGGCGATGAAAGCCAAGCGGCAGGTGATAATCGACTACGGTGCAAAGTACCGCAGCTCCTGCAGGATCGTGTCGCTGTGGCCATGACGTCGGGTCTGACTCTTTGACAACTCAATCGAAAGGGTTGAGCGTCAAGTAGTCGCTCGCGCTTAGGGTCACAGGTACAGAGCTCTAGGT